AAGTCCGCATGGAGTTTGCTAAAAAACACCTGAAGGACTCCAAGATGGTGAGAAATAAGATTCTCTGGTCTGATGAGACCAAGATAGAACTTTTTGGCCTTAATTCTAAGCGGTATGTGTGGAGAAAACCAGGCACTGCTCATCACCTGTCCAATACAGTCCCAACAGTGAAGCATGGTGGTGGCAGCATCCTGCTATGGGGGTGTTTTTCAGCTGCAGGGACCGGACGACTGGTTGCAATCGAGGGAAGGGTGAATGCGGCCAAGTACAGGGATATCCTGGACGAAAACCTTCTCCAGAGTGCTCAGGACCTCAGACTGGGCCGAAGGTTCACCTTCCAACAAGACAATGACCCTAAGCACACAGCTAAAATAACGAAGGAGTGGCTTCCCAACAACTCCGTGACTGTTCTTGAATGGCCCAGCCAGAGCCCTGACTTAAACCCCATTGAGCATCTCTGGAGAGACCTGAAAATGGCTGTCCACCAACGTTTACCATCCAACCTGACAGCACTGGAGAGGATCTGCAAGGAGGAATGGCAGAGGATCCCCAAATGCAGGTGTGAACTTGTTGCATCATTCCCAAAAAGACTCATGGCTGTATTAGCTCCAAAGGGTGCTTCTACTAAATACTGAGCAAAGGGTCTGAATACTTATGACCATGTGATATTTCAGTTTTTCTTTTTTAATAAATCTGCAAAAATGTCAAAAATTCTGTGTTTTTCTGTCAATATGGGGTGCTGTGTGTACATTAATGAGGAAAAAAATGAACTTAAATGATTTTAGCATATGGCTGCAATATAACAAAGAGTGAAAAATTTAAGGGGGTCTGAATACTTTCCGTACCCCCTGTATATTGGAAATTTGGATCATTTGTTTTCCTATTGTGACAATGTGAACTTTCTCTGGAGGGAGCTGGCTACATATGACAGAGCTTATAGTGCAAAATGTCATGTTTGGTTTGTTTGTCAGTGATAAGAGTCTGGCCTTTGCTCTCATACAATCTACTGTTACTGGGTAAATTCTTTATGCATAAAATGTAGCTATCTTAAAATGAAGCCCTGTTTTAATCACTGGAAGAATGAGTTATAACTGCCGTATAAGTCACAGGAATATGTTAATAACAAAAAGGACTTTGTTTTCTTTATTAAATGAACCCAATTCGATTTATTTTTTCCTCTCCTCTAGTTGTCTTTTATCTTCCCTTCCTGCTAAGCTTGAGGTTTGTACTTGTGAAATCTTGATTGTGCCTACGCTTCTGTGCACATCTTTGTTCAATAAAGTGTTAAAAACATGAGTATTAGTTTAACTAGCCTATATTACATTGTAGGTAGTCTAACAATCTTGCTAATGGAGAACAAGTAGGCCATCAGCTGATGAAAAATCTGAAAGCAAAGAAATTCAGGACGACCTAGACAGAAAGAATGGGAAAGTGTGTGGAATGGGCCGTTTACATATCGAGTCTTTTGTGTGATAAAATTCATTATTTTAAACGGAGAGGTGCGACAAGTGTTAAACTTGCCTTGATTGTCAGTTCTGCTGAAGTGAACTGATGTCAGTCCCTATTGATGTTCCACGGATCAATACAGAGCTGAAAGGTCATGAAAACGGCAAAGATGTTCTTCAGACTTTTCTTTATTTTTCTTCTTTTAAACTTGTGTTGGCAGCTCATGCAGCAATTACTACATGATGCAATTTTGTGAAAATGAGACTGAAGTGTGAGAATGATGAGCAGAAATCAAACAAATTAAAAAGCAGACAAACTCCTCTGACAACCTGTAGCTGCAAAATGTGCTGAGCAGCAGAAGATCTGAAATACAGACACTGACTGACTTATTAATACTGTCACATTTTTTATACAAAACAGCAAACTGAGAGGATTGGACACAATCACACAAATGCTAGGCAGATAGGACAGCACATGCAATAGGACATTTTACTGGCAGTGCAGGGAAACACAATACAAGGCAAATCCAGACAACAAAATCATGCAAGGAGAATCAGCGCTGAGTGGGAACCCAAACTAAACAGGGGCTGGAGGCATACAAACAACTGGAGCCGAGCAAAAAATTCAGGGGACTTGGCAGGACAGTGAGTCCAAATTTAAACAGAATCCAAACAAAGGAAATCAGAAACAACACAAGCAACACTGGGAACACAAAGGGCTAGAAAAAAGAGGCTCCAGGGAAAGGCAACTACAGAGACCACATCAGACCATCTGGCAAGGAAACAGAGCAGTAAAGGAACTAATGGGGTGCGTGGCGTCGTGTGGTGAGAGCGAGTCAGGACTGAGGGGCGGGTGTGCAGGGCTGAGACAGAGGGATAATCCAGAGGCATCTGGAGACTGGATGACGAACGTCACTGTCTAGAACTGTCCGGAACAGGACAGAGCCAGGAAAACTCAGGGCAGGGACAGGGACTCTGGCAGATGTTGACTCACTATAACAACAGCTGGAACTAAAGTTAAAAACTTTGCTAATCATGTGGCAAATGTAGTGGACTTACTGTGTGAGCTGTAATGTTGAAACTGTCACTGGTTAATAAACTATGCTGGAAACCACAATGAAATTCTGTTCTAGCAGAGCCAGAAGGAAGGGCATGGGCGGGCACAATGTGCATGTGCACAGGGTCACAGAGGCAAACCCGGAAGAGAAAGGTTCTTTTTTTTTTTTTAACTTTGGACATATGCGCCAGATGAACAGCTTTCACTGGCATCCTCATCCATGACTCAGACTGAGCCACAGCTTGTTAGGCAACAAGGTTAACATGCATCTTGGAACATTTAAGCATTAATCAATCATTCAATAATGCCTCTTTATCAGAGCCTTTGGCTGACATCCTCAGATCACTGGTGGATTGATATGATATTCTGTCATATCAAACTCACTCATAGAAACAACCACTTCAAATACTTCAACCACCGCTTCCTGCTCACATTCATTTATTGCCAGCGTGCAGCAGAGAAGGGTTCACATCAGGATTTCAAAGCTACAACTAGATAAAGTTCCACAGAGAGCCGAGACACCTGTTTGGGGAGCGGCTTCATTTCAGCTGTTGTTCACTCTGATACAAGTCAGCTCCAGTTCTCATTTGGTTCTCCATCATTTCACTGACTGAATGTGATGTTTCACTTGGAAACGGCTTTGTTTGCTCCTCTGGAGCCTGAGTTCCCCGGCCCAGGCTTTTCTCTGCTACAAAACACCAGAACTTTTTTTTTTTTACCAATTTAATTCTGTTTGAGTTTAATGCAGCTAGTAGCATCTCCGACTGTTGGATTCGGAAGATTATGATCATAGAGACCACCCTCGGATGTTGGTCCTCCAGATTTACTTCCCAGGATGGATGTTGAAGCTTATGCTCTTCAGGGAGTAGTCATAACTCTTCCACTGCTACCAAGAAACTCCTACTTTTCTCATTGATGACTTGGTTTGTACTTGGTCAAAAGTGTCAAACGTTCATTGGCAGTGTTATCATTGAGATTGTCTATATGACTAAATCTCTGTCTAAAATAAAAGAGCTGAAATACAAATAATTATTAGTATAATTACTATTATTATTGATTATTAAATAAGTGACAGGAGTTCGCAAGTCATCAGGCAAGTGTGCACAGTACTTAGAGGGTATGCAGGCAGGAACTAATGAAATGCTTGGTGACATTTTCAGCACAGTGCAGAGATATTCAGCAACTTTAAAATCACCAAATGAAATGTGCTCACACTGAAATGTAGCCTTAGAAATAGCAGGAGCAGCATAGCCCCTTCTGTCAAGTCTAGAAACACTCTGATCTGTTAATCTGCACATACTCCACTCACAGAATACTGCTCTACATATGCAGATACTCTGCACTATTTCATTTCATCTCATCCCATTGCACTAGTGTTCTATAAGCTTAATGTACCTTGTCCATTACTTGTGATTTAAATCCACAGTCTGTTGTACATCATACATCACCCCACATATCTTGCTGTAAATATCAATCATACATATCAGTAAATTAGTTCTGACTGTACAGACTGTAGATACTGCACACTCTGCACTGCTGTCATTGCACTTCTGGTCAGATGCTAAACTGCATTTTGTTGCCTTGTACTTGTACATGAGTAATGACAATAAAGTTGAATCTAATCTAATCTAATATAAAAGTTATAATCTTGGAAGGTGCTGTTTCGATGAAAACTGTTTTCAAGCCAGGTCTCTGTAAGAAGCATGAAACCTAGCTGGTATTAAAACGACTTGCTAGTCAGTCGCGTGTACAGGAATCTGGCTGTGACTGAACATTTCCATATTTTCCATATTTCGCTACCATGAGGCTGACCATGCCGCCGGCTGTTTAAGTTCGCTGCTTTGAGGAAGTGGCATGGGTTGTGTTTCATCTCTGGCGGACCTGATTGATGATGTGTAGCTTTTGCTGTTGAATAGTTCGTCGAGTTGACTGAGTTTCTTAGTTGCATCTTTAAGTAGCTTCTTGTGTGATGAGTCAGATGGAGGTGGGGGTCTGAATGGGAGGAGGGGATCGGGACAGAGACATCCTCTGATTGCCCTGAGTGATGTGGAGCAGAGTCCGCTGAGGTTGCAGCGGTTGTGTGTGCGCGCCGTGTTTCGGGATTGTCCATGCGTTCATGTTTGGATAGGAAAGCCCACAGGCATGATGTAGGCTGGCACCGAGCAGTCTGGATCCAGAGAAGTTTGGATGCACCTCATCAGGTTTGGGGTGGTCTTTACAGCTCCAGAATATGTATCTAGAGCTTTAATCCGCAAAGGAGGCGCGCTGAAGACAGCCATGGATCGCACTGTCTATAAATAAATATCACCAAAATGGAAAAAAATATGCTTTTGCCTAAACTGTTGCAGTATAGAATAAGTAGAATATACAAAATATCGGCAGTATAGGCCTCTGTCTCTCCAGTGTTGCACTTTGTAGACGGTCCCTGAGTCGTGTCAGCCGCTGCACAGTGAGACCAGGACATTTCTCTGGAGCAAAATCAGGTCGTTTGGATCAAAATGAGCTTGTAGCTCGTTGTTTACAGTAGTACGAAACCACAGAGACGTCGTTTTTATTTTAGCAGCATTCCCCATATTGATCCGGAAACTTCGAATGTGTGAATACCTTTCCAACTTTACCCAAGTAACTAACAAACTTCAGATCAGTTAATTAAGGATTAGGATGAAGTTTCAGGATTAATCCCCGACTCCCGCTGAGTCACATCACCGTGGGCAACCTTTTCTGTTTGCTTCTTTCACGTCTTCTACAGGTGACGTTCTTAACAAGGAGCAGAAATCTGCGGGCGGGGCCAACCCTGTGCCTCCCCGAGGATGAAAGTAACATGAGCGTTACCGACGAATCGACAGGTGAGACAGAGAAGAGCCGAACAGGAGTCAGACGGATCCTGGTCCCCAAACAGAAACTCGGCCGGAAAAGCGCAGTGTCGCGGTAAGAAATCGATACCAAACTATCAATAACTGATCAGAGACTGAAGGAGAGAGACTAAGGAAGATCAGAATGATCATGTTTAAGTGTTCGCGATGGTCAAACTATGGTTAAACATACAATACAGACAAAAGAACGAACGACAGACAGACAGACAGACAGACAGACAGACAGACAGACAGATAGATAGATAGATAGATAGATAGATAGATAGATAGATCTTAAGTGTTAACATCCCGTTACTTGCAAAGAAACAACCTGAAAAGAGTAAAGTGTGTAGAGTTGGCGTTTAGTTTTAAATATGGGTCAAAGTATCCTGCATATCAGTCAGAGGCACAGTCTGTTCTGATGGATGCGATTGTTGTAATTAACAATAAACAAAACTAAAAACATGTTTTTACAGAGTTATTAATGGAGTTTTGTAAAAGGCCAACTTCTTCCAAAGTCCGTTAAATGAAGTGACCTGTAACTGATCAGCTCAACTGATTTCACTATTAAACATTTGGAAGGTTGTTACGTTTATTAAAATACCAAGAGTCAGGAATTTAAGGCGGTCTGAAGAAATGATGTAAAGTTAGCTCCACCTTTAGCAGCTGCAGTGTGTAGGTGGTGAACACTGTCATGCATCAGTCATTGTAATACACTCATGAAATGTGCCATTCTGCTGAATGACTGCTGTTTCAAGTATATTTTTTATGCTAAGACTTTTGTACTTTTACTTAAGTAACATTTTGAATGCAGGACCTCTCACTCTGTAGTATTTCTGCTTTCACTGAACTAAACAGTTGGAGTACCTCTTCGGCTGCTGAGAAATGTAGCTGCTAAAAACCTGCAGTTCCTCGAACAGCCACTAGAGGGACTACCCAGAAGGGAGTCAGTCCCCATAAACTCCCAAGTTAAAATGCCCAACTTTACAGCAGAAATAAACATGCCTGGCACAAAAAACAGTTTGGGTCTCTATAGCTCATGTCCTCGTCCATGACAACTGTACTGTATTAAAACTTAACTGTTTAAGATAGAGTGAGACTAAAAGTTGCACATTAAATAAGTGTGTGTCTCCCCCTCCAGCAGTAAACACCTAGGAGCGCTTACTGTTAATGAACACACTGGACATAAATGGTGGTCTGGTTAGACCTGTCTGTCTGGCTGCACTTATCAGAATCAGAACAGTCTTTATTGTCATTGCACGTGGGAGTACAATGAAAAAATGGGTTCTCTACTCAACAACAGAGCACACTTTAAAATACAAAGTACAATAAATATTCTATTTACAATTTAAAAGAAAAGGGGGAAAGAATACACAATATAAATATAAACAATAGAAAAAAGAAAATAATAAATAAATAGAAAGTAAAATAGAAATGTACATAGTACATGCATAAATAGCAAATAAAAATCTGGAATGGAATTGCACATTCAGTTGAGGTAGAAGATAAGGAGTCCATGCTGTGCTGTCATGTGCATGTGTATGTGTGTGCATGTGGGGGAAGTGGGGGTCAGTGATTGTTTGCTATCAGTATGGCCCATGGAAAAACACTGTTCGTCAGCCTGGTGGTTTGAGACTTTCTAGACCTGAAATGCCATCTAGAAGTCAACAGGTCAAACAGGTGGTGGGTGGGATGTGAGGGGTCCTCTATGATGACCTTGATTTTACTGAGGCAGCGGGACCTGGAAATGTCTTCCAGGGAGGGCAGAGGACAGCCAGTGATTTTTTTGGGCACTGTTAATAACCCTCCGCACAGCCTTTCTGTCCTCATCTGTTGAGCCTGCATACCACACCCCCAGACAGTACGTCAGAATGCTCTCCACAGAGGTGTGATAAAAGGCCAGCAGCAGCTTCTTGTCCAGGCTGTTCTTCCCGAGTACTCGCAGGAAGTGCAGCCATTGCTGGACCTTCTTCGCTAGACCTTGATTTTATAAGTCCAGGAAAGATCAGCAGAGATATGGAAAGAAATGTGAAGGTGGTGACAGAGAGGAGCTCGACCACGGTGGTACAATCCTTGATGATGGTGTTGGTTGGGTGGGTCGGCGTGCAGTCGTAGGTATACAGGGCGTACAGTAGGGGGCTCAGCACACTGCCCTGGGGGAGCCAGTGCTGAGTGTGATCATGGAGGAAAGGTGGGGGCCAAGTCTAACAGATTGTGGGCGATTTGTGAGGAAATGTTTAATCCAGGTGTAGGTTGAAGGGGCAATCCCTAGGGTGAGCAGTCTGATGTGCTGAGAGACTACCCGCTCAAAACACTTGATAATAACAGATGTGAGGGCTATGGGTCCATAGTCTTGAGGCTGTCTATGTTTGTTTGTTTTTTTTTAATTGGGATTATGATGGCAGACTTCATGCATTTTGGGACAATGGCATGCGTCAGGGAGAGATTGAACAACTTGGTGAGGATCCCTGTCAGCTGTTCTGCACATGCTTTGACCATACCGTAGCTCCTGGGATGCCATCAGGTCCAGCAGCTTACCTGGGGTTCACTGCACTCAGTGTCCTCCTCACCTCATGCTGCTGGAGAGATTGAGGGGCGGTGTTAGAGTTTTAGGGGGCCAGTGTGTGCAGGTGTGCGGCGGTCTCAAAGCGAGCAAAGAAGATACAGGTGCAGCTCAATAAATTAGAATATCGTGGAAAAGTCCATTTATTTCAGTAATTCAACTCAAATAGTGAAACCCGTGTATTATATAAATTCAGTACACACAGAATGAAGTAGTTTAAGCCGTTGGGTCTTTTAATTGTGATGACTTTGCTCACATTTAACAAAAACCCACCAATTCACTATCTCAATAAATTAGAATACCTCATAAGACCTATAAAAAACATTTTTAGTGAATTGCTGGCCTTCTGGAAAGTATGTTCATTTACTGTATATGTACTCAATACTTGGTAGGGGCTCCTTTTG